ATTAGTCCAGTAGTGTAAACGCAATGCTTTTATCTTAGCCGAGAAGCAGTGACCTTCTCAGCTGAGACGCTGACCTATGTGACGTGCAATGTTCCCTACCAGTATCTCCCAACGGCGCCATCGCCTAAGCCAAAGCAAGGGCTAAACTCCATAATATCAGTAGTGTAGTAAGTGTGTGTCTACATGAGTGATGCTAACTGAGATGATTAGGACAAGGAGAACGGGAGATAGAATAATCGCGCCTGCTTTGTGACCCTGTTATTAGGGACAATTCAGAAATGAAGTTTAAGCAAAGATTTGTGTATTTCTTGAATAACCCCTCAGTAACGCACTTCTTAAACTTCCCCAAATTAATTACGTATCGTTATGAGAACCCCCATTTACCAAAATAAAAATAAATCATTTACAGAAAAACAATTTGTATTAAGAAATGTTATATTTGAAAATTTATGATACTTATAGTCAGGAAATTAATTCGAGATGCGCCTATATGTAACAATAACATTCCCGCAATATGCTAAAAGGGGATGCTATGTGAAGGGAAGGACGATACAAACGAAAATTTCTCACCATCTGTGCACATGTCGTGGATAGACGCATGCCGACGACTCTACTGCATAAATTTAATTGGCATCTCTAGAATATATGATATATCAGTTGTGAAAATTCTCCTACGTAATCTTACAGACTCAATTAAAAAATTTACGAAAAGGTTACTTCCATTTATTGTACAATTCACAATTAACTTTAATTCTGTATTTTTTAAGTAAATTAAACATTTTAAGTTTTGATATAAGACAGAAAACAGTTATTTTTCACCAGATGTGGAAAAATTAAAATAAATCAATTTACTTAAACACTAAAGACTAGAACACTACCTAGACCCCCAAATACGCAACATTTAACGCCCTGCTCAAAACCCCCTGCCTCCTCTTTAGGGTTTCGTAATTTACTGCCAGACCCTTAGTGTACTGCTCGATACAGAATGGAGAACACTGGGCGAAAAACTCCGAAATTAGAGCAGACCATTCACTAGAATCTGCAGGCAGCGCCTGAAGTTTGGCCTAAGTATACAGCACAGTGTCAGGATTTCCACCGCCGTCGGGCCCTACCTTACGCCACCGCCATACATGCTCAGAGACGCTGCACAGCAGCGGCAATGATGTACTCTGCAGCCTCCAAAACTACTAGCCGCTAACATGACCGCGGGGTTGCAGCCGCCTCGCCAGAGCGTCACTACGATTCTCTCTCGCTGCCCTGTACTCTCGCTCCCAGGAGCGCATCCCGCCCGCCGCAAACATCGGCTGCAACCTGCGTCGCCCGCTTGTACTTCAAATGCGCCCCCCGCCCCGCCTGCCGCCTTCCCTCGCGGACCGACGTGCGGCTTGCCGCCCGCTCCACCACGCCGCACGCTCCTTGCGGACGCGAGCCAATCCGTCTCGGCACCGCGAGGACTGCAATGCGGCGGAGGACGTTGAGTGATTGATTCTTAGTGCATTCCGTGCCGATCGACTCCTAAGGTCATAGTATCTTAAGTATACTTACATGCATTTTTTGTTTTCAGGCAGTAGACGGCTGATCTTCCCCGCTGTATGGTGAGCATCCATCTCCCCTAAAGCTTTGGTGTGCGCTGGTTTTTCTTCATCCTGCTACTCTCTTACAGCCAGCGCCCGCCCCAGCGGGACAAGCTCTAGCTCCCGACACGTGTGGTAGTGTAACACATGTTGCGTATAAGAAAAATAAAAAAAAAAAAAAAAAAAATAAAAATGTGTGTTTCTAAGGGTGATGATAGACAAGAATGCGAAGAAAGATCCGTGCGATTCGTGGCCCTTCTTAGGGCCTTTACTGCTCCCGCATTCGCCTGTATTGATCGAGAAAGCTCGAAAACTACCGATAAGCAGATAAGCTGGCCGCTATAATCTCGCCCCTCCAGAAGCCGTCTGATTCATTTAAACTGACAATCAGCTTAGAAATTCCTGCCCACTGTCGGACTTAGACTTAATAGCGACCGTCCATCAGAGACTCCCACCCCCCCCCCCCCCTCGTTCCCCCGCACTCCCCCCCCCCCCCCCCCCTCCCTCCCCCCCTCCCCCCCTCCCAACCCTTCCCCCCCCCCCCCCCCATCTCCCCCCCCCCGTCCCCTCCTCGGGGGCCCCCCCCCCCCCCCCCCCCCCCCCTTCCCCCCCCCCTACCCACCCCTTCTCCCCCCCCCCCCCCCTCCCCAACCCCACCCCCCCTTCCCCCCCACCCCCCCCCCCCCCCCCCCCCCCCCCCTTTTTCCTCTCCCCCCCTCCCCTTCCCCCTCCCCCCTTCCCCCCCCCCCCTCCCCCCCCTCCCTTATCCCCCCTCCCCCCTCACCCCACCCCCCCCCCCCCCCCCCCCCCCCCCCCCCTCCCCCCCCCCCCCCCCCTCCCCCCCCCTTCCTCCCCCCCCGGCCCTTCCCCCACCCCCCCCCCCCCCGTCCCCACCTTTTCCCCTCCCCCCCCCCCCCCCCCCTCCCCCCCTCCCCCCCCCCCCCCCCCTTCCCTTCCCCCCCCCCCCCCCCCCCCCCCCCCCCTCCCCCCCCCCCTATGCATGAGCATGAGCTTGCATTCCCTGAGCCACCTCTCCGGATGGAGAATACCACGGGGACCCCATTAAATACATATAACTTGAAAAGCAAATTACACTACATACAGCCTCAATAACTAACCTTGCGAAATGAATAATCCTGATTGGCAAAATTAGCATTATACGTATTAACAGATCCATTGTTGTTCGGCACCACGATCCGGCTTATGCTTCCTCCGGCACCACAATCTAGGACTTATGATTGCGCCCGTCCGAAACCTGCCAAATACCAGTGCACGATGAAATGATTAAGGATAAGTACCGGGTGTGCTAGGAAATGTAGTAGTGAGAACACAATTGAAATCCCATAGAACCGGAAGATCCTAGAGTAATCTCGCTTCCGGCATAACGATCTCGGACTTATGAGTGCCCCCGCTCGACGTCTCTTAATTGATTAGATCTCTCTCCTGAGAAGGATATGTGTACTTTATTTATTTATTTTATTTATTTACTTACGTCAAAAATAGTTAAAAACCGTGTGTGACATGTTATTGGGAGAAGTTAATTTGAAGTTGTCCAGAAGCAAAACAAGGAGCCATCTGAGCATTTGCTCAAGGATCAGAGAAACTGGACAAAAACCAGATCGAGATGGTGGTCATTGACCCAGGATGTGAAGTACAATACTTGTTACAAGTTCTTTAGAATTATACAATCTAAATGGTACATAATACTCTTAGTTTCGTTGTTAAAATTAATATTCCTTTCTTTTTGGAAGCTCAATATTGTCTCTAATTGTATAGAAACAGTTGTGCAGCAGAAAATATTTTATGTGGGACGTAAACTTTTGTATCGAAATAATCATTTAATGTCATCTGGCAAGGTGTTGAAAAATAATGTACATGCATGGTATGTTAATTTTGGGCATTTATCACAATGAATTCCAGTCTATTTAGAAAAATAGTAAATTTCAGGCAATTCATTGAATAAAAATGGGAAAATGTCAATCAATATTAGGAATTTAAGATTGAAATAATTGTAAGGGGTGTAAATGTGTAAATTATAGGAGCAATTATATGAGCATTAAGAAAATGTGCGCTACTTTCATAGATAATTGGTGGAGATGTTGATGTATGTAGAAGTTAGTTCCTTGCTGAAGCATCACCCTCACCCGAAGCGTGTGACAAATTGCCTACCTTGCAGGCGCATATTAGATATTGTTTTCTATCTCAACCGCCCTTTAGGAATAGGGAGAGGATTTTTATGCTCTGAAAAACTTGAAATATGCTTTTAAATTGTGTATTTATTACTTAAAAATAAGAAATATGCCCTTTAATATTATATAAATATGCAATTAAAATTAACAATATTTCATTTTCTGTATAAACCTTTCTTGATAAAATTCAGTAAAAGCATGCTTGGAATGAAAATATATATTTTTGTCCAAACATAATATAATCTAATCTACTTCACGAGAGAAAGAATTCAAATGAATATTCACTTGAAGTACATTGTATGTCTTGTTATATTTCTTCTCATTGATTAAAAAATATGTTATCCAGAATAAATTGGAATACTTTTCAATAAAGCAATCGCTTTTTCAGTTACAGTGACTTTTAGCATTGATTTAGATAAAAGGATTAGACACCAAAACAGAACATAATAATAATAATAATAATAATAATAATAATAATAATAATAATAATAATGTACTTGAATGTGCTTGAAAGTAGTGAGCACACACTTTACTGGGATCGCTCCATTATCACTGACAGACATGTCGGCGGCAATAGACCCGATATAACATACATTAATAAAAACCATCAGCAGGTTTTCCTTATCGATATATCAATACCCTATACCCACAACATATCGGGAAAATATCAAGAAAAGATCCAGAAGTATACCGATCTCGCCGATGAAGACGCATCTCAGTGGAACTTCAGTAAAGTGACATCTGTGCCTATAATAATATCAGCTGCAGGGGTGATCCCAAAAATGACACTTCGGGCACTTGAGTGTCTTCACTTGGATACCAGGAATGTATATACTATGCAAAAGTGTATAGTTTTGAATACATGCTGTTTTGTCAGAAGCCATCTGAACCTTCAGTAAAGCAACCACACACCTGGTCATCATTCCTGTGTGTGGTTGACATACCGACCAGTAGATACTGTGAATAATGTATAATGATAATAATAATAATGATGATAATAATAATGATAATGATAATAATAATAATAATAATAGTAATAATAAGAAGAAGAAGAAGAAGAAGCGAAGAAGGGGAAGCGAAGAAGTAGCAGTGAAGAAGAAGAAGCGAAGAAGAAGAAGAAGCGAAGAAGAAGAAGAAGCGAAGAAGAAGAAGAAGCGAAGAAGTAGCAGTGAAGAAGAAGAAGCAAAGAAGAAGGGAAGAAGAAGAAGCGAAGGAGAAGAAGAAGCGAAGAAGAAAGAAGAAGAGAAGACGAAGATGAAGAAGAAGCGAAGACGAAGAAGAAGAAGAAGCGAAGACGAAGAAGCGAAGACGGAGAAGAAGAAGAAGAAGAAGATGCGAAGACGAAGAAGCGAAGACGACGAAGAAGAAGAAGCGAAGACGACGAAGAAGAAGAAGCGAAGACGAAGAAGAAGAAACGAAGACGAAGAAGAAGAAGCGAAGACGAAGAAGAAGAAGCGAAGACGGAGAAGAAGAAGAAGAAGAAGAAGAAGAAGCGAAGACGAAGAAGAAGAAGAAGAAGAAGCGAAGACGAAGAAGCGAAGACGTCGAAGAAGAAGAAGAAGAAGCGAAGACGAAGAAGCGAAGACGTCGAAGAAGAAGAAGAAGCGAAGACGAAGAAGAAGAAGAAGCGAAGACGGAGAAGAAGAAGCGAAGAAGAAGCGAGGACGGAGAAGAAGAATATGTTTCGAAGAATGATAAAGAATTTTGGAAGATTCTAGTAGAATATTGAGAGCAGTATAATTAGATAGTGAATAGAAGGAGTTAAGTTGGCGTGTATTAATTCAAGATTCGAGTTAGAAAATATAAATATATTGTGAATTTTGTAATTTATTCTGCAGTATTACGTGTGGTTTTGTTGTTTAAATGTGTGATATGCATTAACACTTAATACATTCTTCACAATTTACAGTAATTAAATTTGGCCACAAAAATGGTCCTCGAATAGCCATAGTGGAGCGGCTATACTGGACCTAATTCTCTGTAGCTAGAGTCAAAAACCCTGCCTCCGTCGGTACTCGAAACGTAGCACCTCCCGATCCAAGGCGCTGCAATGACATCAGTTGATGTCCTAAGCCATAGAAACCTGTAGAAGTGAGTGATTGGCGTTGGGTGGTCAGCCTGGTTGCAGCGGAGCGCAAGCCGCCTGCGGTCACTCCGAAGAGCAGCGAGGGCGGCAGCGGCGAGGGCGGCAGCGGCGGTGGGGGCGGCAGCAGCACCTGCAGCGCGTGTCGGCGGCGGCGCGAGGGCCTGCGACGCGCGGCGGCGGCGTTTGCGGCGGCGGCGGAGGCGCGCGAGGACGAGGGCGAGGGCAGGGGCGCGTGCGAGGACGTGGCGGCGCTCAAGGAGGCCCTGCGCCTGAGAACGCCGCTCAGCGTGTGGCGCCTCGACGCCGCCGCGCTCGCCCAACAGCTCACGCTGCTCGACCGGGAGCTGCTGCTGCAGGTACCCGCCTGCAGGGGCACCGGAGCTCTGCTGCCTACTGACCGAAGAATATTTCTGTCCGCTTGACTGCTAGCGGCTGGCAGGGGTGAGGTTACGTTTGTCAATCAGAGGCTTCAAATTCTAATGATGCCACCGCAGAGTTGCCGATTCTAATTAATAGGGAGACGATTTTTGTGCCCTAAGATATTTTGAAATATACTTTTAAAAGTAAGCATATGTGACGTAAAATCCTTAAATATGCAATTAATTAACAATATTTCATTTCCTGCATAAACCTTTCGTGATAAAATTTTAGGAGAAGCATGCCTGGAATGAAAATATATATTTTTGTGCAAACATAATATAATCTACCTTACGTTTCGGAATAAATAATTGACGTAAATATTCACCACAGTGAAGTACATAAATGGCAAGTCTTATTACATTTTGTTTGCTTGGTTTAAAAAAAGATGTCAAGAAAAATCCTAAATCTATATAAATATTTTATCTACAAAAAAGAAAAAAACGCAATAACAAAATGTTAATGTATTTTCATCTTATAATGTCACTTTTTTACGTCTCAAATAAAGATTCTACGAAAAGATTTTAATGGAATATGCAAAACCTGTTTCTATAATTACACGAATATGCACCAACAGGAAAATCGGCCAAATATGCATAAATATGCTCTAACAATTCTAACCAAATATCAAGAAATTTCCCTTCATTCGTTAACAGACACAAATATGCAATATCATAGAAATTCGCTCCCTAATAATTGGTGAGAAAATTATATTACATAATAATTCAACAGAATAGTGGTTGCTCTCATCTGAAAGGAGCTACTGAAACAGCTGCAGAAATTCCCCGGAGGGGGAGGGAGGAATTTATTTTTATTACGATTTATTTAACAAACATTGCTTAGAAGCCCACGCCCACTGTCATGATTGGCAGATTTATTAGTTTCAATTTACGCTTATACTGAATACGTAAATATGCACTGTTCAATGAAAACTAACACTTCATGTGTTCCATGACGGAGTGAGCGTTACCCATTCCGTTAAATCGCGGAGATTCTTGATGATCTCAACACTGCTGAGCAGCAATTATATTGACGCGTTTTGGTGAGTTCGTAAACGAACACAACTGGACCATATCTTCGCTATTAATGTAATTTGCGTTTCTGGCACGTCAAATGCTTTGGTGATCAGTCGTGTTGGTGTAGAGCTTATTATGTCCTTAGTCTGGAACGTGGTATCCGGCACCGACCTACACGTCCGGACTACCGAACTACCCCTCCTTCAGGTACACAGCGAGGCTCTCTGCAGTTGTGATTACCTATTTTTCTTCCGATATATCGTGTATATATGAGCGTGTGTGTGTGGCGTAGTGTAGTGCATGCAAGTTGGTGTACATCAGGGGAGACGTTGAGACAAGAAGGAAGAAAAAATCTTTTCCAATGATTTGTTTGTTGGAGTACTGTTTCGGCATTCGCCCGGAGTAACCACGGGAAACTACCGATCAGAGCAGCCAACCTCTAGAATTCTCCCCAGACAGCGGCTGAATTCAACCCATGTAACTCGAACCCTACGGCCTTCTGGTCAATGGTGATGCAGAGGCAACAGCCGGGAATTATTTAACAACTCGGCTTAATTTTGTGAACCGCCGCCCTTTGAAATGACGCGCCGCCAAATCTGCGCCAGGTGCCCGCGGACGAGCTGCGCTGGGTGGCGCGCAGGCGCAGCAGCAAGGGCGCCGCCCGCCTGCGCGCGCTGCTGGCCTTCGGCCACCGCGTCTCCTGCCTCGTCGCCTCCGAGGTGCTGCGCCAGGACGCCGCCACGGTGCGCTTCGTCCGTTCATGCACGCAGTTATTCATCACTCACTCATTTATCCATTCATTCACTTGGTCATTCATTCATTCACCTCTCACTCATTTATTCATTCACTTATTAATTCGTCCTTCAATCACTTCAATCACTCACTCATCACTCACTTATGCTTCCGAACGGTCAACTGCAATGGTCATTAGTCCTTTAAGTCTAGTGCCTGTTATATATGTTATATTGGAATGTGACGGTGTTTCTCCCCCACTAAAAAGTGAGAGCCGGCGCCAATCTGCAAGTCAACTTGCGGGCTTCCTCCCTCCAGGTATCTCTGCCAGCAAGGCACCACCCTTGCCGAGACAAACTTTAAGCTCCAGACTGGTCTTCTGTCAAGTGTGGTAGTGTGGTGTATGTAAAGGTGTGTAAGAGAAAACGATAAGACAAGGACTGCAATCTCGATCTTCTGCGCATGCGCAGATATACGTAAGTGATGTGAAAATAGTACTGGGCATGCGCAGAAGATCGATAGTGGTGTTAATTGTTGTAACGCTTCGCCGTGCAAAATCTCCCCACGTTCCTATCGTTCACAGCGACGAGACAAGTGCCGAGACCGCTGTCTGAGAGTGCTATACTTGGGTTTTTATAACCTGGCACTTGACGTAAATCATCTGTTACAGTGTCATCCAATCGGGAGCTTGTACGTCATCACGATGACGACACTGTGGTGACGTTCAAGCTTCCGAGGATGAAACCGTCAACAGCTGATTTATGTCAAGTGCCAGGTTATAAAAACCAAAGTATAGTTCCGGCACTGCCATTAATAGTAATAGCCCGTACAACATCCCATTTAGGGCAAGGGCTTCCTACTTTTCAGTAGGGTGCTTAAAGACTAACCTACTATAAAGTATATTGTTCCTTACGTTTGGGAGATTTCTTTTAAAACTTCAATCATTCAATTTACTTTTAACACAAAATTTTTCGTTTTTCTCTTCTTAATGGTCTTGTCCATAAGTTAAACTTAAACATTTTCACTTAGCACTTAAACTTAAACAGTTTAGCTGTTATTGTCGTAATGCTTTAGCACTTAACTTTTGCTTTAATTCATTTAACTGCCGGTATCAGCAATAAATGAAACACATACCAAGCTTGTTATTGGATCGAACCCACCGTGTCGGCGGAAGAGTAGGGATTAGAGATGCGGCATCGATAACAAAACATCGATATTTGTAAACATAGAGTTCAAAATTGAAATATCGATGTTAAAAATACATCAACTAAAAATCATCGATGTTTTTTCAATATCTAGACTGCTTTAGTAGACTAACATTAAACGTTCGTGTGCATTAAAACTTACTTTGAGGTTTCGTGTTTATTAATTCTCCGAATAAAGGTACGAGAAGAAGAGACCGTTCCCCAACAACGTATTTGTTACCCACATCTCAATGTGCAAAATGAATATGAAGAAGAAGGAATTACAATGTCCTGGAGATCATCTCGGACGAGAGAATTTGGTTGAAGGTTTTACAAACAGCGCTTCTTTGGTTCCAATTCATGAACTACAGTGATACCATCAGTTATTATTTCAAATTTTAACTTTTACAGTATTGTGATTATGGGCATTTTTCATTCAGAAACAAAACATCGGATAAGAGAAAAACATCGATCACAAAACATCGATGTCAAAAGAACATTGGATTTAATACATCGATATTTAAAACCTCAGTTTCTATAAAAATATTTGTATTTTAAAACCTCGCCATCGATGTCGCATCCCTAGCATGGATCAGTGAATATCGAATGATGAAGGCGTCTCGAGATCTCTCGACACTATTTATCGTTTGAGCGCCTACAATGTGCGAGTCATTCCGTATTGTTCATCTTCATCCTTCGAGCCAATATCTTAAACGCATTGTTTACTCCACATTCCGTAGAGGGGGTAATTGAACTGTGTGTAAAAGCTAGTACGGTGTGCTCTCCCATGAAAACTTAATTAAAAATCGAGCGCCCAAGATCAGTTAGCTGTGAAACTGCACGAGTACGGAAATGTCATTTTTTTAAATTCAATTTTAAAATATATATTCGTGGTCTTCTTTGTAAGAAAGCCCTTGGTGCTTCTCACAAACAAATCATACCGAAACTATCAGCAAATTGCGGATGCAGCACGCTCCGCGAGTACTGCCTAGAATGAGAGGTACCAATACTTCGAACCAAGGACCGAAAAAGGTATTAAATAGCACTAAAAGTACCGGCAAAAAAAACGGTATTTTTTCCATACGTCTATCAATTACTTTTATTATTTTATACCGATAAAATATCTTTATACAATTTTTTTTCCCCAGAATGGACGTCCATAAAGATTATACCGATATTTTCAATGGAAAAAGGAGTCTCCCACACCATCCGTGCAGAGAAAATAACTTCCTATCGTTAATAATTTTGCTATTTGCTTATTCATATAATAAAAAATCATGCACGCTCGCACGCCCACTAGCGTTCTCGCATGTGCAAGGCACACGCGCGCACGACAATCCCCCCCCTCTCTCTCTCTCTCTCTCTCTCTCTCTCATACGTACTCTATCTCTCTCTTTGCCTCTTTCTCTGTCTCTCTGTCTCTTGGTCCGTATCTCACAACTCACTGCGAAAAGAAATTGATAGCCTGGAATGTGGCGAGTGCTTTATCCTGTCTGAGAGAAACCTTATATTTGCGGCCGAACCGTGGACGCTCGTGGGTCAAAACGCTGACCTCCGGAAGCTAAGCTGACTTCGCAACGGCGTCGCTGTATACGTGTGTATATACACACGTGTACGTGTGAATATACGGAACAATATGCGTACTATAGAGAAAGTTATGTAATGCGCGAAAAAACGACGGATTTTCGGCAAGAAAAAATAATTGCAGAGCCCTGATAACTAAATGTGAAATAAATCCAGTTTGCTAAATGAAGAAAGAATTCCTGTAACACGCCATGTGTAGCAGACTCCATAGCCATTTTCTGAGGTCCTTGATGATCGAAGAACCAATTAATAGCAAAACTACCGTCTGTCCCTTCGTTCGTCTGCTAGACACCATACACAAACCATTCGAGCTTTTTTCCAATTGACATGAAATTCCTGTCATCTGGCTCGAGTCCAAGCTGAGAATTGAAAAAAACATTAATATAAAAATTTGCGGGATACTTTACATCAAGCCCCCCCACCCTCCCCCGGATATAACCATAATTTTCTCAATAAAGGCTCCAAACGTTTTTCTTTATTTTTTGTTAGAATAGAGTAAAATACAATAGGTGGCGCACACATAAAGGTGGCATAGGTCCGATTTTCACGGTTAACTCTGAATTTTCGAAAATTGCAAAAGTTTGAATTTTTTCGGCGTCTTCCTACGACAACAAAGTTAAAAGTAAAGATTTTTCATTCAAATGCAATTTGTTGTCCATAATCAGATCTTTCATTAAGGTCATGCACATTTTTTTCAAAATTTTAGAGATGTTTGCCAGTATTGTGTGGAATATTTGCAATTTTAAAAAATAACAAAAAAGAAGATTTTCTCAAAAACTGCTCCTAATTTTTTCTTCAAACGTTTGGTTGGGATAGTGCTACGTGTACTCTATGAGGTAACATAAACGCCATATGGCTCTAATCTTTTGCTTTTTCAAAAATTACAAAAAATTAACTTTTTTGACTAACCCTCACCTCTTTAATATTTTCATTAGCGGCGATTTCTTCACATTATTGTATTTACCAGTACATGGGTTTTAAATAATGCCACATAAAGTTTTTCCAAGACTCAACAGTATTCTGTGAAAATTAGCTCAAAATTCTGCATTTTCAGAAACGTTTAAACGCAATTTTCTCGTGAACGCCCCCAAATTTGTTCTTCAAACTTTTACAACAGATAATCCCAAATGCATTGTTCAATATGACGTAAAGTTCATTTTGATGTAACCTTTTGTTTTTCGAAAATTACACAAATGTTTTTTGTTTTTTATTTTTTTCAATTTTAATTTCAATTTCACGCCGTTAATTTGTAATTTGTAAAAACTATTGCGTTTATGAGTTGAAGTGCCATGAATGACTCTAAATGAAATTTCACAAAAATAAAAAAAAATCTCTGGAAAAGGGGCTTTGAATTTCTTATTTACAGTAACACATAAACACCATTTTCTTAAAAACAGTTCCAAATTTTTCAGTGAAAAAAGGCTCTCTGACAAGGTTTTACTCTTCTTTAATTCACTTAAAGTAATATTTCGGTTCTGCTATTAGGTAACTGAAAATCTGAGAAAATGTCTAAAACTTTACTCTGGGTGACGATAGATGGCAGTCGCTAGAGGATGGACAAGATCGTAAAGCCAGTTTAGACAAAGAAAATTAGAAACCTTTACTATGAGAAAGTCTGTGCCATTCTGTAACACCACAAGTTCTGTTATCTTTTGACAACTTCGTGAGATGTAACTTATCTCTATTTATGACTATCTTAAAAGCGGTTTTTGAAAGAAATTTGTATAAAGTTTATAAAAAACAAAAAAAGAAGAAAAAAAGGAGAGTTCATCTATATTCTCTAGTTTAGAAAATGGAAACTGAAATATAAAATATTGTGAATAACAGACTTGTTATCGAGATAAAGTTACATATAAATTAATTCTGGAATTTTTTAAATGTTGCTCGGTAGAAAACATTTTTTTTAAGTGCATTTCAAAGGAAAACAATATTGATACAGATTTGAACAGATTTGATATATTCAAATAAACTCATGAAAATATATTTTCTCAAATAGCTTATATTACAAGGTAAAATGGCGGTCATTCTGTAAAAAATGAAACAAATCACAACATACAATATTAAAAACAAAATACTTAGTTTTATTTAGCCCCTCTTTAAAGAAAGATCAATCTTTCACACACGTTCTCAATGACCTCTCTGTATATATTCTGGTTGCTTTACCACTGGTTTGAAATGAAAGGCACTCTTTTAGATGTTTAAGGATTTCAAATGTTACCAAAATGTTTACAGAGTGCAATTGATTTAAATGTTGATAATGTATATGGTAATGTCTATAAATATGGATGTACTGTTTATTTTTACACAATAATATTGAACACACAGATACATAAAATAAAAAAATAAAAATTTAATCAGTTACAAGTAGTCACGAGGTTGGTGGATTACAAAATAGTAACAATGAGTTGAGAACAAACTATGATGTCTCCACCAATAAAATCTGGTACCATGTGGAGTCAACAACATGGTGCTGGTTTTCATTGGCAGAGTCATTTGGGCAACCAGCAACTCATTGTTGTGTGAACCACCAACCTTGAGGGCACAAGCCCTCACTGCTCATTAAGTTTATATTGCAGGTAAGAGCCAGACTCATTTCCCGCTTTATAAGTGTGGCATATAAATGTCATTCTATGCAGAACTTTCAATCCTGCCATAATGTATTGGCAGGTTTACAAAGCGTGCCAATACATCGTTTGACTGAAACTTGGACATATGTGCGCAGGAAACATTCAACAAAATATTCGTAAGTGACAATAATTTTTTTTCTCTATGTTTCTTCAGAAAAAATATGAAATTGCTACTCTTCCCCCTACTATCTTGCGTAACAAATTGATCTTTCCTCATTATATCAACTAGAATTTTTGCAAGATAACATGGTATTACATTTCTTCAAATTCTGTATCATCATTTCAAAGCAATATTTCTTAAGTTTTTCATATGATTAAATATTGTAAAAAATTAAAATAATTTAAATGTAAAAATAATTTATATATTTAGAATAATAGTGTTATTTCATTTTTTTAGTAAAGGGTATATTTTGTAATTGCTTGATATGTAATTTAATTACTTTCTTAATTTACATTCATATTTGCACATTGATAATCTAGAAAATCTGCAAAGAAATATTTGATAAAAATTTTCCAAATATTCTTGTCAAAGTAAATGCACTCTTATAGTAGATTCTTCAGCTCCACTTCAGTTCTGATACTCTGACAGTAATTTTTTGGAACACCTTCCTGATTAACATTAAACTCTTAAATAGTAAATGTAGAAAGGAAATATTTAAACTCAACAAATTTCTTCTTGGATATTTTCTCGTTTTTTTTCCCGTCCAACAGTGCTCCTCCAACCTTTTCCATACAAGTTTTTCTTTCTTTGAAAAAGTATTAATTAAGATTGCAACAATATGCAGGTTATATGTATCATTAGGGTAGCTATTATTTATTCTCATGTAATTGCTAGTTACTTGAATCTTATACATATGAAGATTTGAATACAGAACAATGTAATCTTGATAAATTTTGAATTCATTGTGGGAAGATATCAAAATTGAAGAGTATCCCAGAGAGAAAGATCACCAAATTGAAAAGTTTCATTACAATGAAATGAAATATTAATATAATATTCTTAAAGATAAAAAAATAATAAAATTTCTTACAAACAAAGCACTTTCCACAAGCAATTAGCTTGTTTAGAAAGTGCAATGTTCAGAACTTAAAAAAAATTAATTTGTAAGTTCTTGTGAATATGTAAGATTATTTTTTTCTTAACATTCACCTATTTCAGTAAATTAAGCATTCAGGTGTAAATAACAGTGATAGTTCAGGTGAAATGAAAATGATTGATCTCTATGAAGGAAAGTGATATCTCTCTCTCTATTTCAAGAATATTCAAGTTCAGAAAAGGAATGGCAATTTCCTTGCATATTATGTCATGTGCAACTTGTTTGTTTAAACAGTTGCATCACATTACTCCCAATACACCTTAAATATAGATTTTCATAATTTTTTTCAAATCCAAAAACTAGCAATGTGGGAGCTCATTTACTTATAGTTTACGATACTGAAGCCTTAAATAAGGATTCCTCATCAATGTTTTCAAATTTACAGATTGTTTGAACAACTATGTCGAAAATACAGAGATCCACGCATGCCTTCCTTCCAACGTGCTTTTCACCAGGCAAGATTTCAACCTCCATATATACCATTTGTCGGTGATCTCTTCATACACCTTTTTGGAGGTTCTCCTGAGTCTCTAGAACAACCTTTAGGAAATAAATATTATATCACCATCAACAGTAAGTCAAATTAAACTTTGAAATTGACTCACAAAAACAAAATATTATTTTTATCTTCCTAATGTATTAAAACAGGAATAGATATTTTCTTTCTTGTTCATACTTATTCTTGTATGTACCATCATTAAGAAGGCATTGCAAAAATCATACCATTTATTTAACAGTAACATAACATTAATTTTGTGTTATATAAGGTAATTCAAACATTGCTTCAATAGCAAATGTAACATAGACAAGAATCAATTAAAACTACTATTATTAGAGATCTTAGTGAAAGTGTGATCCTATATCAAATATTCCTTTCTGTTCTTCATTTAATACTCTTTAATCTGTTCATACAAAAATTAAATCTCATAAGTCAAACATATTTTGTTGATGTTTTATGAAATAGTGTTGATTTAGAAGCAACTCAAAATTGAAAAATAAATTGTTTTCCATTCATTAACATTTATTTACATTAAATTAAATCATGATTTTTTTCATGGTGTAATTTTTTCATAAGAACAATGATTTGTATCCTGTACATAGTTTGTAATTAATGTTATTTAATGCAAAATATGTGTATAATTTAAATATTAAGGGAGTATATAACTTTTTTTCCTTTACCTCAAACTAATTTCAAAATTTTGAAAAGGGGCATCCTTTTGAATATGTCTATAATATAGATCTCATTTTCAACAATGCAGCAGTTGAGAGTTATGAATTTCTGTTTGACTATAATGAAGACACAATGTTTTAATCTTGTTAGTTAATTTTAAATTAAAATTATTTTTATAATATAATAGTAACTATTGTTTTTCTTTAATAGGAATTGATATGTTACCATTCACATCACTGTTCCCCAGTCTGGAGAACAAAGCAATTATGAGATCCTGTGACACACTAGGAGACATCACTAATAAGAAATATAAAGAAACATATGATATTAAAAATGCCAAGAGTTTTGTAAAATTACCAAAACAGAATCTGATAGATTCAGCAACTTATTCAACATTGGATTTGGAGGCCCTATCAATTATTGAAATCTCAAGTATCAATCTTCACAATGCAATCTACTTTTTGAAGGAAAGTCAATATTCAGCTCAAAAGTATGAACTGAATCAAAATACTTCTGCCAGAGAGTATTTATTGAGAGCTCGGTATCAAGAAGACATAGATAACTACCTAAGATCGATTTCTCTGGAGAAAATTTAACAACTCTTTTTTTATATATTTATGTATGGCGAATCCTCCATTTACGAATTTTTTCAATAAGTTTTAAATCTACCTGTGTTTCAATACCTGATTTATTATTATAATTTTAAAATTAAGTACTTTACATTTTTCTTCCGTACTTCTGGATCACATTAAATTAATGCAAAATAAACTTTATTTTCAAACGAAAGAAATGTTTTTTAATAGTAGTTTTTATTTTTTTTAGAATATATGCGTTTTAAAACGTGGCTGTTCTAGAGCTTAATTCAAATTCCCGGCAACAGCCGCCTTTGGTAATCTCTACGCTCAAGAAGACCGTGGACACGTAAACTAAGGGGTAATGCTCATTGGACGGCCTCACTCAGCAAATTCCTCCGCCTTAAAAGAGATAGTTCTCGAAACATTTGTGCTTGCTAAATTTACGAAAACGGTCACACTTCGAGTGCTTGTATTTAAATTATTTATAATCTTATTTAGTGAAATACTGAATGTTTGTTGTAATATGTGCTAAAATAAGGTAATTTTTGAATCAGCTGTTACTTCTTCATTGAGTGATGCGGTCGGCTGCCATGATTGATTTCAAGCGTCTATGAGGAAGCTCTGCTGAGAGAAGATTTTCCTACAATGTGTGAAACATATTTCCTATTCGGCTATTTGAAAGGAAGCTGATTAAAGTGGTTCATTGTTAGTGCTGTTCGCAATACACAATAGGTAAGCGGAAGAATGATAGGGCGAGAGCAGAATGGAGGATGCTTGGTCTCTTCGTGTTCCTTCCATGTAGCCATTGAACCCGACTTGTGAACGTTTTCACCGTGTGACACAATTGCGCCCTGAAAGTTGTCGTAGAAGAACAGAAACTTTATATGGAGATTTATTATCTTCTTTGAACGTGCAATGAGGTTTTTCAGTGAACAGTTGATCGATCATTGAAGTAGTTCCCATTGTCGAGGGGGAGTGTTGATTGGGGGTGCGGTGAAACTATTGGAAGAGTCGGGGTCGTAATAATAAGCACTGCTATAGGTTAATGGTCTTTGTTACGTAGTTCGGGTATTTTAAAAGTGCTGAGTATAAGTGCCAATGTAGTGATGCTTTTTGTTTTTTTTTACTTATCGATATTATTTGGAGTGACATTTGTGCTGGGGAAATGAGATTTAATAAGCCTGAAGGCGTGTTAGAAGTACCAACATAGGAGCGCGAGTGGTCAATGACGTAATTACCAATTTCGGTAACCTGTAACTGTCAAAACAGTGAGGACGACTTTGTTATTTACGCGTTTCGAACCTGAATCCCGAATTACGATGCCCGCTTGTTTTATTACTCGTCTGGAATAATTGAAAATGCTACTCTACGAGAGTAAACGTGTGGTACTACCACAGGGTCAGTGGATGTGCATTAAAATGCTATATGTGATTTTTCCATTTCCCGATTAAGAGAGGATGTAGACATTCTTGAGGTAAAGAGTTGAAATGTATACATATTTTGCTTAAAAATAAATTTTGCAGTTCTCGCGCCATTGATGGATCACAGAATTTGTTGTTTTTTTTCACCCACTTATTCTTCACAAGAAAGCACGGCCATTGAGAAGCCATTATCACTACCGAGTTATTTAAAACAAAATGGAATTTTTGTATAAAATCGTTCCCGAATTATTTCATAAATTGACCGAAACATTTTTTTATATTCAAAATTAATTAATTAAAAAAATTTTGTTATCTGTTTTTGGTGTAAAACTGCCAAAAAGAGTTGAACAGTGTGAGAATGTTCACAACCTAAAGCATAATTTTTGTTATTCAGCAATGAAATCCAATCAGACGTGTAGTCCTAGAGGAGGTCCAGGATTTTGATCTAAAAGAAGTTCCATCACAAGGTTAGAGAAGAAATGCCATATAAGTTGTATTGGGGGAGCAGAAATATCATGCATGTTTTTATGCCTACTAGTACATAATTAAATGGGTTTTCAAGGGAGTAAGTTTCCTTGAATTAAATATTTTTATTTCTATAAAATATTGTAGTCAGAAATTAATATATTGAAACCACAAGGGGTTTGTTGAAAGGAAAACTTCACATGGACTGTAAAGAACATGCCCACTGAAATCTGGGCATGTACTTCACTGTCAATGGTCTTATTGCGAACCAGAAACTTGTACATAGTGTAACCCTATTGGATTTGTTTTTTATTCATTTTTTTATCAAAAGTGTAGATAGTCCATAGTACTACCTATGTCATTTTGCTGATAATAGCATTTTATTCTTTGGGTTGCATTTCTTTGTCAGTTTACATTGAATCTTGTAATATAGGCCCCCTTTAAATTATTATTTTAAAAATTATTCTCATAACAAAAGGCTGGGAGATTTGTGGGAATTAATTAAAACATTAGCGTTACATTTTTAAGTAAAGAGAAAAACAGAAAATTTTGTTTCAGTGAATCAGGATGGTGGTGGATCAAACTCCCCGCCAGCTGTTCCCCAAGATGCAGCCAACTGGAATGTCGCCCAAAGAGTTGTCAGAAAATGACGACCTTGCGACATCCCTTGTATTGGATCCGCATCTGGGTTTTATTACTCACAAAATGAACATCAGGTACTAATTTTGTTAGGTTATGCTTGTAAACGTCTACATATTTGTCCATGTAAATTCAAGTCTTACAAAAAAGTAATCTATCAAGAGTGGTGGTAACAAGGACGCATGTTTGGGTAGTGTGTTGTGGGAGATGAACATTAATGTTTAGAAAATTTAGCATTTCAATCAACTTTTAAATATATTACAAATGTGTTATGTGCAAACAATAGGTTATGTGATACATAAAAATAGTATGCTAATTTTTTATTATCATTAGTTACATTTATTTGAATAAATTTGCCTTTCTACATCAATTCCATTCTATTTTTTTAAGTTTGTGCTATATTAATATTATTGTTGTGCCATATATTAACACTGAAGTAGTTTGCAAAACCTTCATATGAATCATTTATGTTTTTGACTACATAAATAAAAATATTACCACTTACTGTATATAAGTAAAAGATTTTATTTTTGATAAAACTTACTTCAACAGGCTAAATGAATAAGTATTATTGTGCTGTGAAACAGATTTGGTGGTAACATCTTAGATGATTTTGAAATTTTTTTTATTTTTATGACTATTATGATGAATGGTTAGAAAATGGCATGGAGATGATGAAGAACAAGGTTAACATTTATATCAAATTTTTCCTTCAAGCTTATTGGATTTTATGGGATCATTCTTTTGTTAATAGGGTTTTAAAGCATTGAAATATTATGTCAAAATGGTGGAGATGATTGTGGAATTATGAAATGTGGAATGGTGGAGTTATTTTACAGTTTTTCTGTATTTTCATGTAGGTATCGCCCACTGAAAGCTAACAAAGATGAGTTGAAAGCAATAGTTGATGAATTCATTCGCACTCAAGATTATGAGCAGTCATACCATCGTCTTATGTCTGGTGACTGGGTGCCTCGTTTGCCCCATATTAAAACGAAGCAGCAACAGCAGCGTCTGGAAGAGCATGTATGTATTTTTGTTGTGATTGCATGATGGAGATTCATTCATTGTCTACAAATGGTGTTCTTGAGAAATATTAATTTTTTTAGAGTACTCCTTTTGCTAAATAGTAACCATTCATACTCTAAGAGATCTTGCTTTAGGATTGTTGTTTAGTTAGTATTGTTGCCAAAACCTCAAGGGTGTGTTACTTATTTGGCCCAATGACACTAATGTAATAGTTCAAAATGTGCAAGTAGAACTTCTGACACATTGCAACATTTACGAAAATGAGTTTATATTTTCAAGAAAATGTTCTGCATAATAGAAGTGATGTTGCTTGTTGGCTGAGTGACAGTAGAGATTTCTGAGTGATTTCAGTAGCCTTACTTATTCTATGTGTGAATGATGGGTTCTGATTAACCTTTCAGTTCTTCTTTCTTCATTTTCATAAATCTTCCTTTGCAACATTTCATGTGCAAAAGACAAAAGTAATAAAACTCTTGACTTCTCAGAAGCATGCCAGAAATAGCAAGGATTTGCTTCGTTTCACAGTAGACTGAGCATCTCACATCTGAAACCAGTTACAGTAGTCTCTTGTTTAGTCATGGCAAATTTTAGCAAAACATCAATACATCGATAGTTCATTACATCACTAAAACACTTTTGATGTCGTTTAAACATCAATGTTAAAATATTGATGTTTTAAATTTGAAAAATAAAAGAAATGATGAAAAAAAAACGTCTTTGTTCTCTACTGCGATTTTTCCAACCTGCCCCTGGCAGGTATCTGCTGTTGTGGCTGCATCCAATCGGGAGCTTGAAAATCACTGAATTGATGTCACTATGGTGACATTGAATCTCCTAATGGGATGAAACTGCCAACAGCTAATGTGTGCCTGGGGCAGAGTTGAAATAATCACAGTTTAATGTGATACGTAACACATCAATTTTACTTTAAAGTATATTCTGCCTTAAATTTGATTGTCGTTAATTTTCTAATCAATGTCAAGATTCAAAATGCAGTTTAACAACATTAGCATGTAAAAATAATAGTAAAGTAATAACAGTGGACAAAAAATGTGAATAGCAAATGGTCTCGTGCTATCTGGGAGATCGACAATCAATGGCAGTTGTCAATTGGTGTTAATCATGGTTGTGACCAATCCATGAAAAAATTAATATCGGAAAGTTTATTTATATCATGATAATTGGTTTGTGAAAACTACGTTATTTTTGAACAAATGTATTGATCTGAAGAAAATATCATTGTTATAACATCCATGTCTCTGCTTGAAAATATGCATGTTTAAAAAAAAAAAATTTTTGCCATCCCTACTCCCATTATAAGAAGTACTTGGTATCTTACAATTGGGGAATGCTAATTTAAATTCATACTTGTGGAAACTCATTCAAATTTCATAGTTTATATTCCTGTCATCACATTTAAAAACAAGCATTAATCTTTGCTTTTAAAAAAAAATCTACTTTGTGTCGGTAGCTATGATTTCTCTCTCTCTCTCTCTCACACACGCACACACATGCATGTTTGCTCGTTTGCACCAGGTGATGAAACAAGGATTGCTTTTTATAGATCAGTTGCAGCTCTAACGGCAAAATAAAGTAATAAACAAATGCCAGCTGATAAGCAATCATCCTATTAATTTCATTGTACACAAATTAATATTTTGTCTTAAAAAAAATAAAACTATTTAATAAGAGCAAGTAATAATTCATCAGCTCCCTTTCATTTAAAGAAAATATGAAATTTTGTTGAGTAGAAAGCTCAAGAGACACTGAAAACCCTTGGTATTTTAAACGTATAGATTATCTTTGCCGAAGTTTTTTTTTTCCTTCACAATTTTACTGTTTACTATAAGATGGTTTTTTATCTGATATTGACAAAAACATTCTTTTCAAGATCCTTACAATTCAAATTCTTAAAAAAATTCTCTAAATTGAGAGATTGTCTTCCATGCCATAAATGATTAACACTGAGATCACCCCAGTTGTGAAAAGCTCAGTTTAAGTACACTATATATGAAAATGCTTTACGCTTTGTCAAATTCTATTCATCTCATTTTGTTTCCTTTCACATTAAAATGATGAGAATATTAATTACAAATCACATGTAGTGTCATTCACAAAACAATACACAAGAAAAGTGGCAGCAGTAGTTTGTCAATCATAGATGAGCTGGGTAATGTTTGGGTGGGTATTTGCACAGTTTTTAAGCCTCCTTTTAAAGTGTGCTTGGGAAAAAAACTAGTGTAACCTGGCTTGGCATGTGGGAAAGTTTCTTATTTTCACTTGACTTTCTTATTTTGATTATTTGTGTGAAAAAAAGAATCTCGAATCATTGAGGAAGGGCTTACTTTCAGTAGCAATTTAGGTTGTTACATAGTGATATAACTCGCATCCATTGGCACAATGCATGAAACTGTAGACATGTCAGCCTCAAAGAAAGATCTCCTGAGTGAATTGAATCTATAGTTTTGAAAAGAGCATTGGGTGGGGCAAAGCAGATATGGCAGATGCCCATTTCAAAAACATTGGTTCATTTGTGAGAGATTATTTTTACTTGTATTTGGTTTTCTGATTTTTATATAGTAAACTGGGAGAGGTGCAATCATTGCCTGAACCTGCTGTAGAAATTGATTTTTTTATGTTATACATTTTTATTTTGTTTTGTATTCCAACCACATTTGCTGTGAACTGAAATTGTGTTTCAGATCTACCGGTATTTACGTGTGTTTGACAAAGATTCTGGGTTTACAATAGAACCTTGTTACCGGTACTCGTTGGAGGGCCAGAAAGGTGCAAAAATTTGTGCCACAAGAAAATGGTTTGTATTATCTTCTTGTGCTTGAAAACAAGAAAGATACATTTTAGTTAGGTCACCAGAGAAATTTATTGTAAATAAGACAGGAGTAGCTATCAAAATGCTTGATGACAACGATTTGCAAGTTCAAGGATTAAATGATGAGTTGCGAGCAGTTACTACCTCAACTGTTGTAGGATTAACATTGATTTTTATTTTCCTTCCATTGTGGTTGCAATTATAATAGGACATTGATACAGTGTGAATAAAAACTGAATATGAAACAAGTTATACCACAAACCAATCTTTTTTGTCATTGACTGATGTGCCTCAGAAGAAGTAACACTGCTGCATCTGCTACAAGCTCACAGAATAGTGCAGTTTGAATTCTCACTTATTTGTTTACTTAGAATTGTTGACATGTGTAGACAGGTTGAAGCAATAGCCACTTCTTTTGTTTGTCTGTAGGACATATCATGTTACTATTGTACTCCCTGATATCATGTGCAACAAAGATTGGTGTGTGGTATAAGGGAGAGTGGAAAGTCAATGCTTTTTTTGCTTTTAGGAGTAAAAATGAAAAAATTCCATGTTTGGTTGGCTGCATAGCAGAGCTCTCTGAAATTGAGGAAAAGCTATTACTGCATGCTGGCAAGAATGACTTTTCAGTTATGTTTAGTTGTCGCAAAAACTGTGCACAATTATGGTTGGGCCCAGCAGCATACATAAATCATGATTGCAGACCAAATTGCAAGGTGAGATCTTAATGACAATGCTTTATAAGAAATATAATTGATTATTTTTTTGTATGATTGTACCATAAGAGATTTCATATTTTAGTAGCCTTAACACACTACATTCAAATATTTTCAATTTTCATTTATCCAGTAGCATTTTGGAATTGTTTGCTATAAAAAAATCCATGTTATTGAATAAAATACATATAATAATTATTTTATTTTTCACTACATAGTTCGTAGCTACGGGTCGTGACACTGCATGTGTTAAGGTCTTGAGAGATATAGCTGTTGGTGAAGAAATAACATGTTTTTACGGAGAAGATTTCTTTGGTGATGGAAATGGATATTGCGAGTGTGAAACCTGTGAAAGGTATAATCGATTGTGCCAGGACTTGGTAGTATGAACATGTAATTGAAAGTTATATTATTCTTATTGTTCTATTTCTTTTCAGGCGGGGAACTGGTGCATTTGCTAAAGACAAGTCAAAAAATGATGAACTAAATTCTGGTTATCGATTACGGGAAACAGACAATCGATTAAACAGGACAAAGCATCGTCAACAAAAGGCTCCGTCATCAGGTGAACTAGATGGCAATGGGGAAAAAGCGAGTCAACCTGAAAATGAAAACTCTAAGCCTGCTAATATTGTAGCACCTCTTAGTATGAAAGAACTGAAGCAGAAGGGCTTGACAAAATATGATGCCGAGCTGCTTATTGCACAAGGCTGCAAGTTTTCAGATATCGATGAAGCAGCAACTCCAGCTCCACCACATACGCGGTTGAGTAGCAGTGGTGTTGGTTTGCGGTCTGGCAACAATTTGGGGTCTAGTGCAGGGACTGGAGGTACTGGAAGTTCTTACTGGACGGCAGCAGCAGCCCTACAACACACTACTACTACAAATCTTACAACTGCAACTACAACACCCCCACACCACACAGCCACCCCCAGCACCATTACAGCCACCCCACCCCCACCCCACAACACCATCACGCTCCACCATTACCACCCACCACCACCCCCACCTGCCAATAAACCACCACCACAGGAACTGTATCAACTTCAACTGCATCAACAACTTTAACTGCAACTGCATTCACTACTACAACTACTTCAGCACCAATATCAGCAATAGATTCTGTCAGTGGAGCAGTTGGAAGTGCAGTGGGGACAGCTGGAGATAGCAGAGAATTAATTGTTGAGCTAGCTGACCAGAGCAGCAGAGAAAGAGGGGCCATGCGACAGTTACGGGCGAATCGAGAAATTAGGAGCAATGTGAGGGCTATACGTCGTCCAGCATGCAAGATGGAGGAGCCTCCAGAATTAACTCCTTCAGTTCCTCTACCCCCTTGTGTTCCAGCACCATCTCCCAATGATGATAGTGATGATAACGTGGCCTTGTCAAGCCTAATTGGGCGAGCTCCTGTGTTAGAAGCAGTGATCAGTGACTCCAGCAGTGTATCTGAGGATGTTGTGAATAGTGACAGTGATGTAGTTATAAGTAGGGAAAATGAAACTAATAATGACTCTGCTGGCCGGAAAGATCATGTGCTTAAAGTGTGTTCAGAAAACAATCGTAATTGTGATGTCATCCCCACTAAACAGGGAATTACATTACGCAACCATAAAAGACTGAATGAAACAAGTGGAGAGAAAACTAATGGTATTCATCAAAACCACCATGTACAACATGGCCAACTTCAAGAGTTAAAAGATGATGAAATATCACGTAGATCTCAGGAGAAGGTAGAAGAAGCTCCTGTTCTCAGGAATAATGAAATCACTGGTAAAGAAAAAGCTGTAAAAGAGAATGAAGCTGTGTATGTTCCTTCGGAGGTCTGTGAGAAACCGAAGCCTGAAAAGACTATAGTAGATAGATCTCAACGCAAAATTTCTTCTAGTAATAAATTGACAAAGAGCTGGGATCATCATGTTCGTCGTGTTGCAACAAATGCTCGAGCCCGTTCCAATATTGATGGTTTAATACATTCTAGAAAAGTGTTCAATAGTGAAGCATGCAAAAGACCAGCTGATCTGCCTCTTAGCAGGCCAAAAGATATATATGAGTTTGATGATCGTGATGATAGTGAAGCTGATGAACCACGTTTGTTACGTCGGGCAAGAGCAGTAACAGCAAGTGTGAAAGTGGCCAGAGTTGATGAAAACCTACACAGTGCTCCCAAGGAGCCAATTGTTGCTCCTCCGAAACCTAATGGAGGATGTGGGCGTGTGAAGTTAACCCTTCGTATGAAGCGAAGCCCTCCTGCTGATGACACAACTGAATCGTCGGGTGGCAGTGAAGACAGCTTTGAACCGGAATATGAAGTTCTACGAGTGGAAGGTGTTGAAAATACTGTGTTGGACATAACACATTCTCGTCGGAAGAAGAGACACAAATCAAAAGATCATGAGCGAGATAGAGAGCGTCGCCGGCGCAAGTTGCGAGCATTAATGGAAGGAAGCTACCCAGTGGCCGATACACCACATGACACATCTACACCTCATCGCCACAATCACCACCATCACCATCATCCTTCCCATCATCATTCATTTCACCATCATCCCCCTATGAAACGATTACGGCTTATTCTTGGTAATGAGACTCGTACCATTGACATACCCTCCACTGTCACTACACTGTCAGGCTCAAAGTCTGCAGCAGCATGAGGTCTTATGACCTATTACATTAGTTATTTTACATGTGGCACTTTGTGCATCATAAATTATTCAGGGATTACAGAGGAATCAGAATTCTACTGTAGCATTTAAGCTCTTTAATGTATAATATTTCTGTAAATACGAATGTACTCTATACAATTAGTTATATATAAATATAAGAATAGTAGAGGAATTTAATTTGTTTTGGCTCCACAAATGGTTTCAAAGAATATTGAAATTGTAGCACAGCTCTATGGTTCTTGTCAGACAGGTAAATGAGTGCAAAAATGTGTAGAGATAAGGTATTTTCAATGCTGGTTGAGATTTTGTGTATTTTGAGAAAAATATAACCTGTTCTTAGCGTGTGAGGTGAGTTGAAAATACTAGAATTTAGTGTTTGTCAAGCTTTTCTTCATTTCAGCTTTTTGGAGTGGGATTGCTGATCGGGCTTATCTGTATTTCTATATAGATATTTGCCAATATCTTAGCATGAATGTGTTCCACTTGTGCAGATTTTGTAAATTTTGAAAACATTGTAATTCAGTTCAGTGAATGTGAATGTTGAAAGGTCAAAGTGATGTTTGTGTACTAATGAAAATTAATTTTTATTTTCTCTTTTGTTATTTATTTATTTTCTCATATATTTTATGATTGTGTGATCAGACCTTTTGCTCTGATTGTGCATCCAATTGGTGTTCAATTCAAAGCTTCCAAAGTGTATATATTCTGGAAGATATATACAAGTGAAACAATTTAGAGGCAAACCGGTTTTAGAGAAGGGTGTTGGCCCATAAGCAATATTTATCAAGTACACCAATTACAATGTCAAATGTGTACTATAGTTGACTGGGTTTTCTTTATTCTGGCTAGATAAATATTCTAGTTTATTAGTGATGGTCTTAGTGAAGTTCTGACAAGGTGAATGTGTATGTTTGACTAAAAATGAATCCGGTTGGCTGAGGTCAGGCATGTCAATGAAATATTTTTCACTTGAGACATAATTGTTGATCAGTTAACTTTTGTTATATTGAATCACAGGAATATGAATATTTTATTACAAACAAGAAATTCAGAATTAAAAACATTTTAAGGGATATAAAGTGCCCTTAAATCTTACATATGCCATATTTGCATTCATTATGGTTAATGGTATATTATGTGAAATGCAACACATATTTGCTCTCTGCTGTTGTACCTTCATTTTTGTAGTTTTTGTACATTATACATTTGTAATAAAGTATTCATTTCCAGAAGAGTTGCATAATTTCTAAGAGGTAGTGTGTGAAAGTGATAAGTTATAGAAAGAGAACCATCATAAGTGCTTTTCTATATTCCAGAAACTTTGTATTAAATCTTCTACCTACATTATTTTCATTCTTAGCCAACCTGAGATAGTCTAAAGACTTTGTTCAGTCCTGATTCCTCTGTTCCCTGTTGTATTTTTTTTTTGGTCGTAGTGTTTCATAAATACGATACATATTGCAGCAACAGAAGAAAGTTTTAATTGTATTGCATTTACATGGATTGTCAAACAGCATAAGAAGAAAGAAATCGAAGATAGAACTTAGTGGAATTCAAAAAAGTAGGGCATACGAACCATGTTGCTGTTCGTTAATAAACCTGTGGGTGGGTTTGGGGTTGGATTTGTTAAAATTTTTTTGAATGATTTTTAACGTAATTTCCTTTTGGTGCCAGCGAGATTTTTTTATTTTTTGGTATTTATCAAGCATTTTTACAAGTGCATATGGGCTACCAGCAATTTTTAATATTTGATATTTATTTCTTCTGTAATCTTTCCTTTCATCGAATAGATTTTTTATTATTTCCTCTGATTATTTCTTCTTGGTACTAATTTCTCACTGGTGGCTTCATTTGTTGTCTCTTTTTAAGCTGTTATACTCATTTTTAGAAGCTTTTAACATGCTCATTGTTTTCATTTTCTTTTTCAACTTGTTTGTATTTTGTCTGAGCTCCATTTAGAGGCTGTGACTTTCATCTCTGACTCAGGCGATGGGGAGCATTGGCTCCACATAAAAAAAAATAACTAGTTTCATATCAGCTCGTTTCACTGCCGTTAAAGACAATGTCATTAGCTGCAATATTTTCCTTCACTCATGTTGGATACATAGTCTTTTTCTTCATATTTTGTTTTGTTTTTAAAATAAATAATTGTTTTGTCATATATGAATTGTTTACCTGAAGTATCCTTTTCTATCCTGTTTAAATTCCTATCAAGACAATTGAGTGCCGTGGATTCCAAAATTTGAATGTACCATGTTTGTAATTGTTAGAATCTTTTTATCTGATGCTGCAGTATGCAGACAAGGAGTCTGAGTACAAGTAATTTTTACAATAAGTTGCTTGAACATTAATCATCCTCAGGATTACTCTGAAGACAGAGGAAACTTTACATGAATACCAGCTTAAAAGCAATAATTTTTTCTTTCCAAATACCTGTGAAATGGGATGGGTGGGTTTGGTATTACTGTTTTTTGACAGGAAATACTTGTTAATTTACTTTTAAAATCCAATTGATACAAATTGAGGCTGAGCCACATAGTGGCACCATACTTGTTATGTTCCTCAGTATTGAGGAATTACGTTTGATGTATATTCTTTTGTATTAGTGTGTCTTGTTTCACTATACAGGCACTCCTGGTTGTGCAATGAATTTGTAGAAAGTTTGAAAAATGATTTAATATTCCAGTATCCCTTTTGTAGGAGACAGAAAGCATGTGGCATAAGTGTTCAATATAATCTGATTTGAAGATTTGTGTGAATGAAGAAAGGAGCACAATTTCTGGTGGCAAGATTCTCATAAATTCAGTGCTTGAACTAGTATTTTGAAAATTATTTAATCACATTTATATTGTGTTGATAGCACTTTCATTTGGATCTTATTCATTACACAATCTTGCCATTTGATGAAGTATGTTACGTACAAAAGCACAGGTGCAGTTCATAAGGGATTTTTTGTACTTGATGGAAAAAAATCAGAAACCAAGTGAGATAATTCATATCTGGGGTAATGTATACTAGCATATACTTTTAAACTGTCTTGTTACATAGTGCATAAGCCTTTGTAAAGCATTGCAGTTTTCCTTTGGTGGTGCTAAGTAGTTCCACAGGGGACCTTGGTTGTGATTTATGAATTTGCATTCCAGTTGAACTTGTTAGGGGGCCTGTTTTCTTATGTTCGAAGTGCACATGATTAAAAGGGTACATAGACATGAAGTGTTTAACATTTCCAGTAATGGATTGTTGTAACAGGAGGTAATTAGTACTGCTGCTAATTGTGCTGTGAATGAAAGTGCAGAAATGGAATTAAAAGAGGCTAGTAGTGACATTGAGCTAGTTAAAATGGGACTGTTTCTCTTGTTTCTGCAGTCTATTATTCCTTACTGGGAACAATTTCTTCAATTTTAGATGTAACTAGTTTGAATGAGAAGTGTGTACATCAATGCCTTGCATATCTCTCATTTGAAGGTTACACAGCTTGCTTCACTTATTTCTCCTGTCACTGACCTTTGCAAATCTTTTGCTCATGTAGTTTTAAGAAATCACCGATGCATTTTTTTAATTAAGCATGTCTACAAAAATTTTACTCCTGTGATGGAATGTAGATTCTGAATCCTGTGTATTGCTTTCTTTGGATCATCTATGCAACAAACTACCATAGTTTCATACAATGACCACAATGGTCCTGTTTTGAATGCTGAGCATTCTTAAGTTCTGTTTTCTGGCAGAAAAAGAATACTTTCATCGTGTTTTAGAGTTGTGAAACAGCCAAGCTATCTGTCTCTTCTCATAGTTTAGCAGGAGCTGGATACTGGTGTAAAACTCCTGTGGATGTTTTACAGAGAACTGTTGTGCCAGTATGTAGTTCCGCTAACAGAATGTTTTGTCTCCATTTTCATACTTTGCTTTTAAGAACAATTCATTACTATCTGCAATATTAATTATTAATAAAGCATTATGTTCTTCATTTCTGTAGTCTATATCATTAACTTAATGTAGCCTTCTTCCTTAGTACTCTTGTTAATAACTGTCTTTCCTGCCTGATGATGAGACAATGTATTGCGATACAAAGTAGATAATTGTCATAGACAATTGCGTTGAGACAAGAATTTCCCTTTGCAAGTAACATAGGAAAACTTAAGGAGGGGGTATGTTTCACTAATTCAAAGTAAAATGTATTTCCACAATGAAAAATGTAGTTGAACATTAACAAAATAATTTTATGGACATAATAGTACATAATTTTGTACAAACTATTATTGACAAAAAAAATAATTATCCTTTACTCTGAATGTAAGGAATATTTTAATTCCCTTAATTCAGAGTTACAAATTTAACTATTTAGAGTTCTCTTTTTGTAATTTCTGTAGTTCTTCATACCATCCCAAAGTTTTTAGGAGGAGTGTAATATTCTCTGTGATATCTCCTGTAAATATAGCATCTTTTGCACGCATTCCCATAGTGCCAACGACTTCTCGGTTGAAGAGTATTCTGGGCACGTTGTAACTTACTTCTTCTGCAATTGCAGCGAATGGATAGACCTATGAAAATGAAAAGATGTGAAAAGGAAAGGAACCATAAAAAAAAATTAATTTGATTGTACGTACTTCTAATGAAGTCCCCATTACAATAAGAAGATCTGCATACAGAGCATCTTCTTGGTATAAAAAGAACCGATCAGGCATAGCCTCCCCAAAAAATACAATATCAGGCTTTACCAAACCCTACAAAAAAGAGTTTTTAGCACCTTTTTAAAAGTAGGAATACAAACAATTTTATAAAAATAAAGTTAAAAATATGACTACAAAAATTTTACAGATTCTTTGTGTTAACTTTCTTCATGAAGTTGTTGTTTCCTTGCCTACTTGAAAATATTTATTTCACTAGTGACATTTTAATTCATAAGAAAGAAGATAAAAATCTATTTTTCAGTTCTTTTTTTTAGAAATAAGTTGGTACAGATTGTCAATGTATTGCTATTTCTTTCACAAACCTTGCAGTGATCACAATACACCACTTTCTCTTCTAAAATTAATGAGCGGGTTTTTACTGGATCATGTTGACGATTGCATTTGATACAGGATGCTGTTGAGAAGGCACCATGGGCTTCAACCAATTTATTCCCAGGAATTCCAGCCACTGCGTGTTTATGTTAATAATATTTAACATGGAATGACTCTTCCCCACATTATATTCACACTTATTGCTCAGCTTGCTGTTAGCAATTAAATCTATTTATTAGGTGTTAAACAAAGCATGAAATTATTTTATTTACAATCTTAAGTGTTACAAAACTCACACCTCTCTAATCCATCAATATTCTGGGTGTACATGCGAAGAAGCATGCCTTTCTCATGAAGTAAACGAACAAGATAGTGCCCTATATTTGGGGAATACTTTACACCAGGGTACAATTCTTTCGCCAGAGTAATAAATGGGCGTGGATCACGAGCAAAAAAACCCAAATCAAAGATTGCTTCAGGATAAGGCAAATTATATTGTTGAAGATTGTAATATAATCCAGTACCGGGAGACCTGTACATAAACACGTGTAAGAGCAAATGAATTTTCTTTTTAATGCAATTTTACATCATACAACTTATATGCACCTAAAGTCTTGTATACCACTTGCCGTACTGAGACCAGCCCCTGCCATCACTAATATAGATCGACTTTCTTTCAGTTGTTTGGCTGCTTCAGCCAGTGGAATACCACTATAACATCTTCTTTGAAGTACTGTCATCAATCATTTAATTACAACTAAGTTACAGTATCAGGAACAATAGAAATGTATTGTCGCATGTTCAATTGCCTGATTACAATTTACTTACTAGCTGCACATAATGTGCCAAATAACTTTCGGCACCCAGCGCACGTACGTGCGTAACCAATCATTTTGTGGGAACTGAAATTCTCATGCAGTGCTGTAGAATATTAAACAAATTGAAAACTTAACCAACACTGTTTGCCTTTAAAGAGCTGCCATGTTTTGTGGATGGAAGTGTAGACTGATGTAGAAGTGGACTACGTTAATGCGAAATGACTCAAACAAGCTTCGCTGCTTTCATTGAGGAAATTAGATAAAACTAGTCCATTAAAAAAGTACTTGACGTTTGATTAAATGTTTATTGCAATTTCTGAGTTTTAAATTATGAGAAGAATATTGTTTCAAAAAGAAAAGCACTATTGTATAGTTCCATTTTTATATTAGTGAATCTGATGTTTATTTTCAAAAAATGATTAAAGTTACAAAAATCATTGGATGAAGGCTTAACGTAAAGTAGAATTAGTCTTCTCGACACCCTCGTATTCGAAAACGGTTCCATAACAGTAAATGAAGATGTCACAAATTACCGCCCGCCAGGGACTTGCGGGTTCTACGTGTATTATTTTTGCTACTAAGGGCAGGAAGGGACCACATTGAAATCGGGACTGAAGAGCGCGGGTCTTTCGGAAAACTTGGTAGAATAAAAATTATATATCTTAGAAACTATGTGCAAACCAATATTTTTTAAAATTTAAATTCCCGAATAATTATTGATCTTTTTATTTGAATATCATTGTATTTTAATAGGTTGAGCAAGGAATAAATTTCTAACAGAGTTGGACGATTGGCAAACAATCAAATTTTGTAGACTTTTTTGCAAAATATATTCGGAATATATCTTTTTCGCCGCTCTCAACGCTTTTACTAACTTTTATTCCAACTTGAGCGAATATTATTTCGATTATCACCCACGGAGGAAACAGTCTTAAACAGTACTTAATAAAACTTGGCGCAGCCGTGCATTCAGGCAAGAAACAGGACGTGCAGCTCAAACGGGTGGGCTGCTCGCACAAGTTTGGGAGTTTTCGCTCCAGCGCACCATTTGCATAAGTGTCTGGCGCAACGGGAAGATCCGCTTAACAGAGTGAGGGTTGGAAGACTTGCTACTAGAAAGAGAGATCGTCGGAGGAAAAGGAAGACGACGATGTCACAGGAGTTTTACCCTGCGTGGCAATTGATGTATCCATTTCTAGGTTTAATATCAGTTTTTACTTTCTCATTTACGTAGTGAACTATATGTTTTTTAAAAAAATATTAAAAGTAACAAAATAACTGGATCAAGCTTGAAGTAAGCTTCTAGATTAACCTTCCGGGCACTTTATTACAGGAAATTAATATATACAAATCACCGCCGCCAGTGGGATCAGGTTTTCGTCCAGTTATCCTGATCCTTGAGAAAATGCTGAGATGGCACCTTGTTTCGCTTCTGAACATAAATGTAATTTCAAATTAACTTCTCCGCATAGCACGACACATACAGTTTTTAACTGTTTTGGACGTAAATAAATTAATAGATTGCAGGATACGGAGTAATATAAGGTAATGCTGCGGTGAAAAGAGCAGTACCAAAACATAATTATTTTGTGGCTCCCTGATACAGTAAAATATGATATTTCTTGCTCCTGTATGTAGTAATGATATTCTCTAATGGTTAGCGAAGACAGGATCCATATTTTGTGGTTCCTTAATCTCGAAAAAAAATGTATGAATAGTGCTGACTGTGATTAATTAGGCGAAATATAATATTTCATAAATACTGTGGAAAGTAGTGGAGTAACTAGTATGAGGCGGAATAGTGGCTGCGAAAGCGAAAACTTTGATCTGTTGCGAGGGTCAGTAGAACTATGCAGTTAGCTCCACGAGTAAGAAATGTTATAATGAACGTCAGAAAACCGTTATGCCTTTAGCAAACACGCGTAACGACTTTGAAATGGCGAAGATTTTGGTGCCGGGCGTGGCCAAGAGACAAGACGAAAGAAGATAGGAAGTGGATCTGGTGGCAGGAGAGAGAAGACGGCGTTTCGAGCGACAACGCGGACGGCTGGTCAGCGAGGGAGCGAAGCGACGACGGAATGGCTGGAGGTCGGCATACCAACTGCAGCGCCAGCACCGCACAAGGTAACGAGAGAATTTGTAACGGGAATTAAGGGCAGGCGGCGCCGTGAATGCGCTTTTGACTGAAAGACAGAAATCAATGGTAATTGGAATAATAAATTAGAATTTGTGGCGGTCAGTATTGCGAAGAAGAACCGCAAAAGAGCCTTGTAGTTTGGATCATCCTGGACAGCTGTTCCTGCCCAGCGGGCCTGATTACAGGCGTGTGAGCACGTGGTTCCTGGTAGCTCAGAAAAGTAGAATGTAAGATTTAATGGATTCAGTGCAAAAAAATACAAAACTTGATGAATGGTTCTAATTACAGGTTACTTGGGGATGATTTGTGACTAGCAATTGGTAACAAAGTAAAGAAATAAATACTAATAGCAAAATACAAATAATGATAATTTAACTGCTTGATGTTTACACCAATGAAATTAGTTATTGTGAGTGTTCAGTTTGGAGTATGGTGCGTTATTAATTGTTATTATACAATCGTTTTGGAATTTACAATACTGGAAATAGTTCAAAGTAAGTTACTATCAACAATTTAGGAGGATAACGTTTACTTGTCATTTGAATTAGAGAATGTTATTTTGTTTTCGTTACTCACCTAGAAGCAGTCTGGATGGCAGCAGTTGCTCGTTAGCGGCTTCGAGATGACGGTATGATGATTAATGCCTGAAGTGTCATTCGGCAGCAAATGGATGCACTTGTTCTACGTAGTTACTAGACGAACTAGAAATTCCCTGAAGTTACTAGGCGGACTGGAAGTTCCCTGAAGTTAGTAGACGAACTAGAAGATCTCGCAGTTTTATGTAGTTGTGTAGCACTCCGACATTTCTGAGTAGTAGTTGCTTTTTGGTGTTGATAGCGATGTACACGGGCGGTCACAATTGTTTAGAGGAGATTGCGAGCGTAGCTACAGCGCAATTAATAGCCACACATGGGTGGTAGTCAAAGTAATTCAGGCATGCGATATGCATGCCACGAACAATAAAGGTTACGAGAATTACGTCCACGTTGTAAGGTGATCTGGAGGCTAGTGGCGTTTTGTCGGAGGCCATATAGGGTCGTAGGTCATATAGTGCGGGGGTGGTTAGAATTATATATATTGTAACCACTCAAGCCGTCGTGGTCACCTCCGACTCACCTGAGTACCTTATTTTTTTCTCGGATTCAGCGTTGCCCCGGCTGCTCTGTTGGTAGACCCCCTAGAGGGAGGCATGCGTGTTTGGGGCTAACTACAGCTACCACGACTACATTCAAAACAAGGTCTCATTTTTTTTACTGAATGTAATGAGCCTAATTTACGATTGAGGAGAAGCCTCATACTAAAATTAATCTTACTAACTACCGTAAAACTAATCTTATCTCATACGGCCGTCATGGCCAAGTTGGTCGTGACCCTGCTTGCGGAAACGGTAGCCCCTCGTCCCAGCGTCTGAAAGTGGTGCGGTCGCTGTGCGTGCGTTGGCTGCACTACCCGTTGTCGCGTTACTTGTGACCCGGCCCGTTGTCTCTACGGACTCGCGGTCAGGCACTTACGGGCATGGCCCACTGCAACTGTTTCGAGCCATCGCCCCCAGAGTCGGCCTGAGATGCCTCGATGAGGCGCGGCAATCGGGCGGCGGAGCGGCGACTGTGGCCGCTGGCGTCCGTGAATTTAAGCGCAGTCCGAATGTTGGAAGCTGAATACGAGGTCAGTATGTAGAAAGCGAGGATCATATTATAATGAACGAGCGTGCGTCTTGAGCTTGCCACGAAGGCTTCGCGGATCACGTGACCCTCCCCCGCGTCATTTCTCGCGATTGGTGGGCGCGCGTCACGCCGTTTCTCCGCCCTATCGCGGCGTTGATGACGAACGCCCGCGCCTTGCGAAATTCCGGGAAACTCCACCATCATTCGAATTTCAAGAGAAAGGCCCGCCGCTGCGTCGTTCGGTTGGGGGCGGCAAGCGTACGTCCCGATAAGTCAAGGGGTGTGGCTTGGCGTGGGTTGCGCCGAACAGAAGGGCTGGATTCCACAGATCCCAGGCGCACCCGAAAAGGCTTCAGGTAGCGACAAACTGCGCGTTTCCTGGCGTCCTTCTCAACGGCCAGCTTATGCTCAATGTAATAGTAGCACACGCGTCGCCCCCTGACACGTGCGATCGTCCCATTACATTATATATATATATATATATATATATATATATAGAGGAGGCGCGTGGCGGGGCGGGGAGTGCGGGGCCGCGGCGCGTGGAGCGATTGAAGCGGCGCGCGCCGGGCGGCGGCGGCGCGAAGGGGTTGGCGCTGCGGGCGGGGCGCCGGCGCGCGCGGGGCTCGCTCGCACCCCACCCGCGGGGGCCGCGCACGCGCCGAGGCCGCGCCGCGCGCGGGGGTGCGCGCGCCCTGCGCCGCCGCCGCGCCGCCGCCTGCCGCCGCTCAGTGCGAGCAGCCCGCCGCCGGCGCGACACGAGCCCCCGCACGCCGGCCGCGCCCCGGGCCCGGCGCCCCGGCCGGCCGTGCCGCCGCCGCCGCGCCAGCGCCCTCG